TCTATATGTATGAATGATAAGATGACAGTAGTAAGTAAAATAGTAGACAAATATGTGGAACGAGATATTGTTCCAGGAGTACTGGGGAAATAGATATAAGATTGTGTGCAGGATGAGGGTACATGCCAAACATTATGAGACTTATTATCTACTTACCATCTCCATTTGCAAATGAAAGAGATGAAAACATTACCTACTTTTAGGATTGGTTCAGGGATACAAGTGAGTATAAGAAGGTATAGTGGTATGAGGTGTTTGTAGAAGAATGTACATTCATTCCTGTATAAGATTATTTTTATATACTTGCTACATTCTTTGCCATGTTAAAAGAGGTTTTACTTGCCTGAGGAAGACAAGGGGATAGGGGAATGAGGGAATGGAGTTGTAGCTAGATGAGGCAAGCCAGACAAAATAAGCATTACTTCCTCACACACCCTATCTCCTGTAATACACATAATGGAAAATGGTCCATTTTTTTGAGCCAGCTTTGTTGGAACGCCATTCTAAATATGCACATTGGAGCATCCTCTGACATAAGGTGTTAAATTCTTTTCTGACATTTTTTTTCTTTTCTTTCAGTCAAGTGACCAGAAACGTGTCTTCAAACCCTCACCATCTGGTGTTCGCAAGATCATCCTCTCCACCAACATCGCAGAAACCAGTGTCACAATAAATGATGTGGTTTATGTCATAGATGCTGGCAAGATGAAGGAGGTTATTATCTCTTTTTTCTTTTTTATCTACTGAGTTAACTCCTTAGACCCAGTTCTTCATGGTAATCACATGGCCCAAAATCCAGGCATTAGGCTTACGTAAGTGGCTGCTCTAGTGGATATGGAACTTGTAGGCTGGGTGCAAGTGAACACTCGTGCATGGTGACAAGATTCTATGCCTCATATTTGCAATGTTATTTTCTCTTTTTCTGCTAATTTTTAGCTCATTTGCCTTTTTTTTTTTTTTTTTTTTTTTTTTTTTTTTTCAATATTCAATTTTCTGTAATACAACCTATGCTCTTCCATTCATGGCTCAAAAACATTACATTCCACCCTCATTTATCGATGAGAATATGCAAAATCACTAAATTAGTCTAATTACCTCCCAAGAGGTTTGTACATTAGTGGCAAGTCTCATCTGCCACTCTGGCCTTCAGCCTAAACACTCACAAGGGCAAGTTTGCATCACCTGGCTCACAGCCATATTTTCCCGTGACGGCATGTTCATGTCACCCGCCCCTCAGCCTAAATTTTTTTGTGACATGATGGGCATGTCATTCAGATTGTATTGGTTAATAGTTTAATTGGTATTTTTTAGATTATTTCATCAGTATCGTTATTACTTTTATTTTTATTATCATTTGTATAATTATCATTTGTGTGTGCATATGTGTATGTGTGTGTGTTTATGTGCATGCCCACGTATACAAATGCATAGGTATGTACTTGTGTCTATGTGTAGAGTAACAACTGATTTCTGTATTTATTAATACTTAGCTGTATTCATTTATACATCATACACTTTATAATAATGTTATTTGTTATGAATGTATGTCACCCCAGTACCTTCCTTAAGTATATAATTTAGGAATATATTCTTTCTTGATATTTGGAGACTTGAACTAGTGATTCAAACATGATTGATTATGATAGACCAGCTTGTTTGCCTTCTCAGGTGAGTTTTGACTCAAACTTGGGTGTGTCATGCTTGAGATGCGTATGGATATCCCAGGCCTCAAGTCAACAGAGGAGGGGCCGGGCTGGCAGATGTCAGCCGGGCATCTGCTACCACCTCTTCTCACGCAGCCGCTACAACAACATGCAGCATTTCCAGACCCCAGAAATCTTGAGGACACCACTGCAGGTGTGTGGCTCTTGTTTACTTTGCATTTGAGTTCTAGTTGGAACAGAATGCTAGGAGGTTTGTTACAAAATATTTCAGTGTTTGAATTTATTTTTCTTTTATGTAAAGGTATGATCTTTTCTTTTATGTGCAGTTGCCTGCACTTATACAAGGTACACCCATTTTTGCAGAAGTCACACTTCTATGTTTGTCTACATTTGCTACTTAATTCTCTTAGCTTTATTTGCCACCTCTTTGTTACTCATTTCATAATGTATCATGATGTTTACTGGAATTTCGAATGCTCGTCACAGGCCATACCCTGTTAGCCACGGGTACAGCCTCCCCCTCCCCCTAGACACTCACAAAACCTACTACCCAGGAATATATATCAGGTTATGTTCAACCAATGTTGGTTATATACAACAAGTTATCTCGGTATAATGACATTCATGAATAAAAGTAATGTTCCATAATTAGTAAATTAATGTTTTTGATGAGATTTACTATATTTGCAATCTATTCAAGTTTAGTATGAAATTGTAAACAATCAATGAGATGCTGCTTACACTTATCACTGAAAACAAGTGTACCAGATATGAGTGAAGGGAACTGTACGTAGTAAAGTGATTTTACAATTATCACCTCTAATGTGTTATAGTTTATAATTTTTATTTCATTCACTACCTTACAGTGACTGAAATAGTTTTAAATTATTTTGCTTTATGTAACTGTGACGCCAATTTTAACATCATAATTGCATTTTATTTTAGTTGCTACTGTGTGATCCCCATTTTCTGTTCTGGCTTTATTTTTTAGACATTGTTTATTGCCCTAGAAATTCTATAGCTCCACCCATTATCCCTCTTCCCACTAATCATGTAAATCAGCTAGGCTATGCCCCACCCTCTACCCAAAATGAGAAACTATCATAGGCAAAATCTATGTCACAGCCCCCCCCCCCCCCCTTTGGTCCTACCCTTGTCCTCCACATCCCCCTATCCTTTACTTCAGCCCTTACCCCTCCACCAGGGATGAGAGAGAGAGAGAGAGAGAGAGAGAGAGAGAGAGAGAGAGAGAGAGAGAGAGAGAGAGAGAGAGAGAGAGAGAGAGAGAGAGTGTTCACCTTAGTTTACCGTGAAAACAACTTGAGGATTCATTAAATCTTTCCTTTCAACTTTGTGTGAGTGAGTGAGAGAGGAAGAAACTGTATTAGATAAGAGACTCTCAGGATGACACATTCAAAGTTACTGCTTGTGAGGGAGTGCCCTGTACATGAGCAATGTGTGTCTTTTAAACCATCGGAAGCAAAACGGTTAATCTGTAGCAAGTATGATGCTTATTGAAAGGACATTTCAAGATGTAAGGATGTTTATTTGTCAGTTTTGGTCTGATGTCAGACTTGGAGTAAATGAATGACAAAAGGACTGATCTTTGTTATTCCTTTTCCACAGGAACTATGTCTTCACACCAAACTTCTAGCTCCAGCCAACATGCCTATTGCAGATTTTTTGGCAAGAGCACCAGAAGCACCAGCATTTATGGTTATCAGAAATGCTGTTCAGTTGCTCAAGGTAAGGTGATTTTACTTTATGTTCTGCATTTGAGTAGATGCCTCTTAGAGAAATGAATGTGGAGGCATTTCATTGATATTATTGAAGTTATCACTGCAGACAAATACAAAATGAAATTGTAAAAGCTTTAGTAAAAATAATCATACTGGCCTGACTGGGATATTGAAAACACTTTTGAAAAACTAGAAACACATTACACTTATTGAGGATTTAATTGTCTGAGTAAAGCATGGATTCTGGTAAGCATGGGATCTTCTTTTCATAAAGATGAACTTGGAAATAAATGTACATAAATGAAGTTTATTGATGACAAATGGAGTAATAAATGCTAAGACAGCAGATTTAAATATATGTTTAGTTATGGTTAGTTATGAATTTTCTTTTCTGAACCCATTACCTTTGAATGATGTGTTTCTCACATCATGTCTGATTTGGTTGTAGCTTCGAATGATAATTAGTTCCTGTCATGGCCGACTTGGTTGTAGCTACGGAGGACAGCTTATTCACATTATGTTACTGATAAGCATGCATTACATTTTATGGTGTTCTTTATTAACCCATTGCCGCCGGGGAAAATGAACAAAAAATGGGAAAAATGCTGTGCCTATTTTCTATTTTTTTTGTGAAATGTCTGCCCATAGATGGCTCTGTTTGTGCCTGATTTGAAATGGCAGGAAAAACATATTTTTCACTAGTGCCATGGATATCGATGGTGTTATTTTTATTATAAACATTGTAATTTTTATAATGTTTTTTAACATTAGTAACATATATATATATATATATATATATATATATATATATATATATATATATATATATATATGTATGTATGTATGTGTGCGTGTATATATATATATATATATACTTATACATATACATATATATATGCATATATATATACATATATGTATATATATTTATATATACATATATGTATACATATATATATGTATATATATATATATACATATATATATGTATATATATATATATATATATATACATATATATATATATATATATATATATATATATATATATATATATATATACATAAATATATATATTTAAACATATGTATATGTATATGTGTATATATATGGAGATATATGTATATATATATATAGATATAATTATTATATGTATTTATATATATATATTTTTCTTTTTCTTTTTCTTTCTTTCTTTCTTTCTTTCAAATTTGATTGTCTTGTAGTTTTTTAGACTTTTGTTACACACAGATGGCTCCACGTGTGCTTAGCCAGCAAGGAGTCTATCAGTAGGCCCTAGTGATTGCTCCTGATTCCCCGATTCCTTGAAATTGCGGGAAAATGTTTTTCTTTCTAATACGATTGATATTGATACTGTTATTAGTCTTATTGATAATGTGATCATTAGATTGTGATTAAAATCATGGCAACAGTAAAGACAATCATCATCATCATAAGGGGGCATACGCATGGCTGTGCTTTGCCGCGCCCAACCTTTGCCTCCATCTCCTGGGGTCCCTCCGAGCGAGCCTCCATGCAGCATTCCTTCCCAGTCCCAGTACATCTTGGCAGATCTGATTGACTTGCTTCAGCCATGAGTTCCATGGCCTTCCCCTTGGTCTTCTCCAGCCTGGGTCAACCCTCTCGGAGATGACCTTATGAGCTGGATCTTCCTCAGGGAAACGAGCCACATGTCCATAGAGCTGAAGTTGGCGCTCTCGTATCAGACTGGTAATAGGTCTTGAATCAGTCTCATGGAGTATCCTCTGATTGGACACATGGTCCTTCCAGGTATACCCCATGATTCTGCGAAGACACTTAGTACCGAAGGAGTTAAGACGGGCTTTCAGAGCACTGTTCAGTGTCCAGGTCTCACACCCGTAGAGCAAGACCGGGATCACCAGTGCTCTGAAGAGCCTGATCTTAGTTCTCCTAGTCAAATACCGACAGCGCCAAATACTCCTATTGAGTGAGTCCATAACGCCGTAGGCCAGTCCGAGTCGTCGAGTGACTTCCCGGTCGGAACCTCCGTCGCTCTGAACTACACTACCAAGATAAGTGAAGCTATCCAAGACCTCAATGTTCTCGCCACAGGCATACACAGACTGAGCATCGACATCCAAAAAGTCCCCAAATTCCTGAACCTTGGTCTTGGTCCAGTTGACCGCGAGTCCCAATGGCTTTGCCTCCTCATGCAGCGCCTCGAGAGCTACTTCCAGGACCTCTAATGTCTCCGCTAGAATCACCGCATCATCGGCAAAGTCAAGGTCTGTGACCTTGAAATTACTAATTGATGCCCCGCAGGAACTACGGTTCACGGTACGGCCAAGTATCCAGTCCATACAAGTGTTGAAAAGGGTTGGGGCCAGGACACATCCCTGTCTCACCCCGGCATACACCGGGAAGAAGGCAGAGATGCCCTCCTCACACTTGACAGCACTCTCAGTATCTGTATACAGGCCAGACAGCAAACCAATAATTCCAGGGGGGATCCCACGGAGACCCAGTAGGCTCCAGAGACTCTCCCGGAGTCGAAAGCCTTCTTGAGATCAACAGAAGCTGCAAGCATACCCTGTTGAAACTCAAGTCGGCGTTCCACAAGGACACGAAGTGCTAAGACACGGACTATAGTTGACTTCTTGGGTGTAAAACCAGACTGCTCAGGTCTCTGTGCTTGTAATACATGGTCGCGCACTCGTGCCAGAAGCAGATGAGCGAGGACCTTGCCTGGTACGCTGAGCAATGTAATACCTCTGTAGTTGCCACAGTCCTTTTGGTCCCCTTTCCCTTTCCAGATAGGGATGACCAAGCCCCTTTTCCAGTCCGGGGGAATGGTACCAGTCTCCCAAATGGCAGACAGGACTGCATGCAAACCACAGATCATGGCTTCTCCACCCGCCTTCAACAACTCTGCAGCAATCCCACAGACACCAGCAGCCTTTCCACTTTTCAGCTTAGACACTGCCCTTCTCACCTCTTCGATGGAAGGTGGTGCCTTACTGATTGGTGGATCAGCCACTAGTGGCTGTGTGCCAGCCAACGGGAGTTGTGAAGACGGGGGATCTACCCTATACAGTTGCTCAAAGTACTCAGCCCAGCGGGCCCTATACTCACCAGGCTCTGACACAATGCGACCATCCTCTGCTCTCATTGAGCCCGATTGAGTGATGGACTTTGATTGGAGTTCCCTCAGGGCTCGGAAAGCAGGTCGAAGGTCATTTTGGGCAAAATGACCTTCCAATTCTTCCACAATGCCCCTAACGTACCTCTCTTGGTCCACTCTCAAAGAGGCCCTAGCAGAGCGAGACAGCTCCCTGTGCAAGACATGGTTCCCATCCAGTCTGGCAGCATGACTCATCTCTATAGTGTTTAGTGTCTCCTCTGAGACAACACACCTCCTTCGCCGAGGTCGGACACCAAGGCACTCCTCGGCAGCTGACAGAGTTCCTCGCTTAAAGGTATCCCACAGTTCAGCAGGGTCCTGTGGAGTACCAAGCACTTCAAACCGATTTGAGACTGCCATTGCATACTCCTGAGCCACCTCCTCACTCTTGAACCTCTCGAGATGGAACACCTGCTGATGAGATCTCGGGATGCGTCTAGATCTGAGGCGGAGCCTTAGTGTTGCGACAACAAGTCTGTGGTCGGTAGCAAAGAACTCAGCACTCCTAAAAACTCTACAGTTCTGAAGGATCCTCCAGCGAGTATCCACGAGAATATGGTCGATCTCTTTAGCTACAACGCCAGTATTGGAGTACCAAGTCCAGCAGTGTAGATCTCGTCTCTGGTACCACGAGCCCGCAATCCTCAGCCTCCTAGATCTTGCGAAGTCTAAGAGGTATGAGCTATTGATGTTCCTAGTACCAGAGCCATAGGGACTGATGCATAGCTCATATCCTTCCCTGTCAGTGCCAGTGACTGCATTGAAGTCCCCCAAGACCATGAGGGTGTCCCCCCGGGGACATTGATCCACTATAGAGTCAAGTTTGGTGTAGAACATCTCTTTCTCTTCAAGCCCACTTCCCTCAGTAGGAGCATAAACTGCAATTAGAGATATGAAGCCCAAAGTGTGCTTCATTCTCACAAGCAGAATACGC